TGTCTTTGTTAACAAGCATAAATGTTTGGGCTAATTTAGAAATAACATCATTGTTCATTTATAACAGTCTTGACACTGCCTGGTGGTGCAGACTGAAGCAGGGTTTTCGCACTGAACACCAACTTCACTTATTGCTTCGTACCTTTACAGGCAACAATGGGCTTCCATACAGCACAGACACCATCAGTAAGAAGGTGTAACGACTATGGATTAAACAGCAACAATAACTGACTGAAGCGGATACTGTGACTATCAGAGTAGGAAAAACACAAAGATATAAACACTGAATTCTAGACCTGCCAAAGCCTGGACATGACCCAGCTAAATGGAACACATCCATCACTCATATTATTAGTTACCTCTGTGATTTTCCAGCTTTTCAAAGTAAAAATGTCATGACCACATTTATCCAAACTTGGCATCGTGCGTACTTACCAGTGCAATCCAGAGCACCAGGTACTCATCAATAAAACTATTGAAATACTGATCCAGGAACAGTAGTCCTGGTCCCAGGAAGGCTAAATCGTGGAGATGCATCTCACTTTTTGTCATATGTGCTACCTGTACACAAAGATCACACACAAACATACACACACAGTTTCAATAAAACAGTCATCTCTGCAAGGCACTGGAGTTGTTTGAAGTTTCAGTTTTCTACATAAATTGCATCAAACTTCCTCTGCTACAGTTTGATGTGGTGGCCCGCCTAATGAATCTTGAATGCATCTTAAATTATTGGGGAGTTTTCCCACCCCATCTCTGTCCTAATTTTAGCAGATGAGAGGCAGAATCTCTCCACTTTGAGCAGGAAAGGAAGACAGTTTTAAACATGAGCAGTTCAGAAGTCTCTTCCTGGGGATGTTTAGACTCTTGAATCCCCCCCCCACCAAAAAAAAGATTTATTTATTTTTTACAATAACAGGTTTTAGAATAATTATTTGTGGCATTTGTGAATCTTAATGCTATTTTGAAACCTGTATTTATAACTTTTTGTTATGAAGAGCACTAACAAACATGTTTTTTAATGCCAGCAGAAACTCAAGGTCCAGTAGAAAACCTGGGTGAGAACGAGGAGACAACATGCAAAGTTCACTCCAAAGCCCCCTGCCTGGATCTGAGTCCCTTTTGCTGCTGTTGGCAACAATGTCAGTAACCAAGCAACTATGCTGTTAAATGTTTTTGCACTGAGCTACATCAAACGCTACCTTGTCTGCTCCAATAGCTCAGCTTTAAAATGACCTGCAACTAAATCAAAGCAATAAATTAAACTGAGAGTCAAATGTTGAGTTTTAATGTTAAGTTTCAACCGTGTTTCATGATTGTTGATGGAAAGCGGCTGAAAAGCCAACAGTGTAAATTAGAGAAACAAACAATCCTGTTTTTATCCTCCTGCAGTGTCTGCAGTGTTTTGGATGCTGTACCAAAAACCTGGAAGCAGTTTTACTGGTTGGCAGTCTTTGTCCTTACGTACGGCTATGAGCTGTGGGTAGTGACGGAAAGAATTACACACTAAAACAAGTGGTGGAAATTAGCTTCCTCATTGTCTGGGCCCTCAGAGATAAAGGAGTTTGGTTATTTGGGAAAGGCTCAGAGTAGAGCCACTAATCCTCAACACCAAAAGGAGTTACGTGTGGTGTTTCGACATGTTGAACAGAGAAGAGACGCCAGGGCAGAGCCAGGATAGCCTGGAGAGATCATGTCTCTCAGCTGGCTTAGGAAAAATAGCTAAGTTTGTCAGCATCTATGCTTTTTCAGGAATCCTTTCCCAATAATTATTATTTCATTGATAAGCTGAAGTAAAGCTGAAATGATTAAATAAACACGTTAGCTACCTCATGTCTATTCACAGCTTACACTGATAGCATGAGGTTTACAAAGTGAAAAATATAAGCTTTTTTTGGTTTGTTGATGGAACTATTCAAACAGTTTTATCCTACTTTCAGTATTTATGCTAAGCTAGGCTAATCACACCTTTGATGCTCACAAGTAAAACTTGCAAAATGTTAAAACCTTTCTTGAACACTGAGCATCGTTCATCCTCTCCAGACTATCTTTATGCAGGATATCAGGAATAACAACCGTGAAAAACACAACGCGCAACCATAATTCAGTAAATATAACCTAATGATGATTATAAAGAGAGAAAAAAAAAAAGTATGTTTGACTTACAACTAATTTATTGGTGATTTTGGCCGAGACAAAGCCAAATGCCAGGATATAAAGACATGGATGATTTTCAAAGAGCTGGACAGCAGACTTTTTGTATATCATCATCGCCAAAATTATGACTGAACCAATATGTAAGACTGGAGAGAGGACACTGGTTCCCTGCAAGACAAGGGAGGAGAAAAAGACAATTAATATCAGTGGAAATCGACAGAGGAGCTGCTCAGGTACAAAAAACTGTAACACAAACTAAAGCTAGCCTAACAATGCTTTTATTCTGAACGGAAATGAAACTTTATTCACCAGAATACTTCTGCACCAGAAGAACAGCTAAAAGGCTTCTAATACATTACACATATACACTTAACTGATCATACAGAAAATGTAAACCCTTGCTTATCCCTCATATCACTATTGCCAAAATGCTGACCAAAGCACTGCACCACAAAACCGGTGGGCCATTTGTGTACTGTTTGTCTGTTATTTGTAATGTTGTTTTGCTAAAATCTCATGTTTACATTACATATTTTTCTACAGATATCCATTAACATAGGTTTCAGCTGTACGTACTCTGCTACAGAAGACACAGCCTGCAGATCAAGTTCCCCCCGTGTGTAAATTACCCCATCATCTGCTATGTAAAAATAGGCAGTCAAGCTGGTCAAAACACTGGGCGGTTCTCATAAGGCACCAGGGCAGAGCTGTGCAGCGCATCAGTCAAAAAGAGGCATTACAAACCAGGACAGGACACTGAGGGCTTACTGCTATTGTGGATCCATTTTTGCCCACACCTCCTGTGAAAATAACTCTGAAATAATTGGTGCAGGAGAAGATGGCTCCTAACAAAGTGCAGATGGCAGGAATCATTTTCATCTGGATATTTAGGATCGGAATCTGGAATTCGAGACATTGACATGGAAATCTTAGATGTTTTTATGCAACACAAAGTCATCAAAACAAATCCTGATCAGACAGACAATTTGCATTTTTGTACTTTGAGAGCACAGTCACTACACCACCCTCATTTAAACCACCATGACTAATGTTAGAGACTACTAAAAGGCACTTACTTATAACAATTACAGTAAAACAGTTTAAACATGACTGTTAGAGCAGCATTACTGTAAAATGATCAAGTTAAACGTCATGACATTACAGTCTCATTGTCATTGGTTCCAATTTCTTCAGATTAAGATCAATCAGAATTACCAGTGACTGCCAAAAAGCAGATCCTCCCACGGCGGCCAGCAAATACACGATTATAATGAAGATTTGCACCTCAGTCACATCAATGCTGAGTGGGAGGAGAAAGCAGAGAGTTTACGGTGAGGATTAGTGACGTATAACAGCACACAGTCATCCTGCAGCATTCCTCCACAACACGCTGCCGGACACGGAGCCCGTTCTTCTGCTCAACACGTTTGATTTGGAGGTTAAAAGGTGCGATCAGTAATATTTCACTGGCTCGGTCAACAAAAGAACGAGTTTTGTTAGCAGAGTGAGTCACTCCCCTGATCTCTTTGACTTGAGCAAGTTTACTGCAGGGCAAACTGTGACATGGGTCTAGTAAACGTCACTAGGACATCAGGTTTGATGCATGTAGACAATACCCGAGCAAGGCTGCAGTTTCTCTGCTGCTCGTTTCCTCCTTATCTGCTTCTTGCTGTGATCGTGGTGACAGCTGAAGTTTGTCTTATAATTTGATTATGAAAACCATCTGATAACATGTTTTCATTTATTATTGGCTCCAAAGCTGACAGTCTGTCTTGGGATATACAGCACTGTGCGAAAGTCTGAAGCCACCGCTCATTTGTTCATGCTTTCCTTCCAAGAAGCTAGACTTAATTTCTTTGTAAGCGATGTTGAGCAGTAATTCTACATGTTTTCTGAGGGTCTTTCAAAGTTTTTCCTTTTGACATTGGCTGCTTTTTCCATTCATTTTCAGTCAAGTCCTTCCACCTGACCATTTCCAGGACTTTCTTTTATTTGTTTTTTTAAGCTACTAAAGACTGACCTTTGAATCATTACAGGATAAAGGCACCCAACTCAAGAGCTAAACCAATGTTTTGTCTACACATAACAGAGACTTTGTGACTAGCAGCCTGTTGCAAAAAGCATGTTATGTTTATACCCAAAGAGCTGTTAGCTGAATAAATTGGCATCTGTCAGCTTGGTGTGCAGTGTGTCTTTAAAGATTTTGAGGAAACTAAACTGGAGTACAAAAGACGATGTGGGAGGACTAAAAAAACAACAACAACAAAAAAAACCTGTGTAGAGCAGACAGACAGGATCTGAAAGTCATGTTCTTAAGAAGCGAAAAAAAAACCATTAAAGAGAGATGCATCTGGCCCCTTCAGTTAATACACTCTTATACTGCTTCATCAAAAATAGTCTCAGTGGAAAGGTGGCTGTCAAGCCATTCTCAGACTGACATATGCCTAATTACACAAGTCATTGGCTGAAAATCAGTGAGAACGGAGATTGATAAGAGAGTGATAAGTCCAAGTTTTAAAGTTTTGGTTCATTGCCCATATGTTACGGTTGACATGAAGAGAGAGGTACAACAGAGAACGTGTACAGCCACTCTGTAAAACCAGGTGGAGGCTCTGTTATGGCCTCTAATCAAAATATTTAGTTTATAAAAATGTAAACGCATAAAGTCCTTCTTAACAAAAGTTTGAAACTAAAATCCTATAAATGTTATATTTGACAGATGAAAGCTAGCTGCCCAATTGCTTCAGCTGATGCTACTCAGAGCCATATTTTACTGACCGCACCTTCAAGCAGAAATGAGTACGAGCTGATCTGACCATGTGACTCCATGCAGGTCAGAGTTCACTGTGGAAGCGGACAACAGTGAGCCATGCAGGCAGCAGCCAGAAAGTTTACCATCACGCTCCACAGGCAGGGACCCACAGTGGCTGTGAGCATCTGTAATCCTGCTAGACAGAGCTGCACCTCTGTTATATCAAATCTACACACAGAACACACATTTACTGCGGGTCATCCGAACACGTAAATGCTGTGGTCTAATGACAAGACTAAACCTCAGGTCTAATTAACTTGCTGCACCTTTTAACTTTTTCAAAGCTTTGGACTGAATTCCTGAAAAACCTGTTTATGACTACCTCACAGGTTTCAGTAGGTAAAGTCAGGAGGTGATTCAAAATGACGACATTCTTTCTATACTAATAGTCCATTCTGCCTAATATGAAGATGTTGGCTTTAAAAATCAATCACGTAAATCTAATATTTGTGTTCAAAGAAAAATCAGTGTTTATATTTATACAGAAAGTGTTCAATAAGAGTGAGAGCGCACATAAAGGTCAAGTAAACAACTAGAACTTTTCAGGCTTTTCAATTCTTAAGTCAGTCACCATAAAATTTTATGTCACCCTCATTTGTAATAAAAATCAGAGATTATTGGTTGACAAACTGAGCAATTTACTACTAATAATAAAAAACTCAGACTAGTTTAACAGCCAGAAAAACATCTGAAACCTAACAGATTGAATTAAACAGTCTCTACAGCTGTTGTGTGTGTTTAAGTACCTAACAACATCCTTTGATAATGAAATCCTATGAATTGTGTGGCCATTTGAGACATGCGTAATATTACGCATATAAAATGCCAGAATACACAAAGCTGTGCTAATGTTAGCTGTGCTAACTTCAGCAGCCTTTGTTGCTTTCAGTTTAAAATTTTGCATAACTGTGTAAAATTGGCCTGGCTTCATGGCAAAACATGGAATAGTTACAGAAACTCAAGTAAATCGAGTTCATGGCCATGAGTTGTCCTGTCAGGAAGTATTGCCTAAACCTAGCAGAGTATTTTTTTTTTAATAATTAAGAACACCATTAAAACAGCACAAATGTTTTGAGGTAATCTGTCTGAACTTTGGCCTCTGATATGAGCAGGGGCCAACTACTCCAGCCTCCAGATGTGGACATTTATTAATCCTTTAAATCCTACATAGAGCAATTCTATGTAGATAGACATGACAGAAGAAATGAGACTGACAAAAAATGTAAAATGAAAAAACAAAATAAAAAACAAAACAGAAAAGGAACATTTGCACCCAGAAGTAAGAATCGATAGACTAAAAATGTATTTCATGAACAGCAGTGAGGCTGTGATTGCATATTGT